GGGGGGGGTCTGGGTATAAGCTTGACCTCAGCAATGCAGGTTCAATGGCCTTGGGAAGACAGAACCTGTGTTTCACTGACTTCCGAGGTGCTGCTCAGGTGTTCTTGTGGGCAGTGAGAGCCCGTCTAGCTTCTGCCCGTGTGGCTGCTACATGTGCCTGCTCCTTCCTCCATCGAGACTGTATACAGTTCCACCTCTTTAGTGACTTTAAAATCCTCTATAGTAGACCCAGCCTCCTGTGAAGGAACTGACCCTCGAAGATGCTATCAGCATTTCTTGATCAACCATGGAAGTCCTGAAGCATCGTCTATTGACAGCCACACTTTCAGCTCCATACAAGTTGATGGGAAGGCTGCAGCGTCTCTCACGGTGGAGTGGAAGATCTTCAGGAGCTTCATGAGCCGCTCAGATACTTGGAATGTGGACCCAGCTCAATGAGGAGTGGTACTTGCTAAATGAAGGGAGCGTCATCAGCAAGAGGTTCCTATTTTCTTTTCTTTGCTCTCTTACTTGAGCTTGTTGAAAACGTGTTAAAGTTGCAGAACATGACCAATAATGCAGCCGTAAAATTACCACAAGAGGGAGCCACAGTCCTATTTTTAAACTGGCCATCATCACTCACACTCATACAGAACCTCCACAATAAATCACATTCACCTCCATCTATCAATGAGACGTCGAAGATGTGATCATTTCTGATGTAACATAGCATTTATTCATTATTCAAGCATTAACATTTAAATGTTAAAATCTAAGAGGGCCTGAACGTAGAGATTAAGGACACTGTTTTCACAGGTGGCCATAACTTTTATTGACCAAACTTGGAAGTCCTGACTGAGTGAATATCAACAAACATACATTTTCCCGTTGAACGCTGCATTAGAGCTAGTAAACAGCACCAAGTGTAAGAGGCTTAAACATTACAACTTGGTAAAGAACACAGATGCAACCCCACGTTAAAAATGGCAACATTTATTTAACATGTTATAAAACAGATGGGATATGAACATTTTCAAATCAAATATAGTATGTAGCCACGTGTTGGATACATCTTCCCATCCTGCTATACCATGTACATTATATACACAGTAAACCTCTGATAATTACACTTTGTACACACACAAAAATTCTTCCTGGATCCACAAAAACATATTTTATTGCTTTTTACATGTGCTAATCTTTTTTTTTTTCTTCTTTTTCAAACCAAAATATCACAAAATAGAACCAAAATCAGATTTTTTCCTCAGTCAGTTTAAATATCTCTCTCTCAAAAAAAACAAGTATACAGTATAGAATGACTTAAGCCAGAACATTCACATAGGTGTCGGCAACGACGCGAGAGGGATTGCAGAGGATCCCGCTTTGAATAATTACAACCTAGAAATAAGAAAAAATGACAAATAATCTTAGTCTGCGGCCATACAGTGGCTCCTCCTTTCATTACAATGGAAGGATCCACAGTTTGTCTCTATTTGTTTCGCATCCACACGTTCTTTAGAGTTAATGGATAAATATGAACGGTTGGCTGACAACCAATGTTTGAAAAACAAATTGAGTGGATTATAAAAGACTTAAGTGAACTAAAATGATCTGAAGACATGAAAATTAGGCATCGCAAAAAACAGAGCTCGGTCTATTAGCCTCATATACACAGACATTGGCCCATATTCAAACAAGGACCTAATAAAACCATATAAATAATAAAATTAAACTTAAAAGCCTTGTAAAACACTGAAAAGGAAGCTGCAACGTTAACAGCCTGAAAGTGATTGCAGAGAAGTGTCACAGAGAAAAGTGTGGTTGGTGGCACAGGAGCTTGAGACGTCACAGTGAGTGTACAGAAGTCACAGGTGAAGACCGAGTGGAAAGTTTCACTCTCTGTGGACCTTGTGCTGATGTCCTTGGGTACAGTTTCAGGAGCATCTTTATATTTCCACTGTTGATTCCTTCATGTGTAGGTTTTTACTGAAGCCAGAGCTTGTGCTGCAGAAAGAGAAGGTGAGAAAACAGTTAAATTATGCTCCAAACACAACACCAGGGAACTGGATAACTTGGGCTGCCTGTGTCTAATCATTCCATCACTGTCCATTTAAGGTTTATCAGCAGGCAACAACAAATACTGCGAGAAACTACACAGACTCAAAGAAATGTACAGGATGAGAACAAGTGATGGCTACAGCTAAAGCTACAACACAAATTACATCAGCTGTTTTCAGACATGAACTCCGGATAACGTCCAGAGGATGGGGCCTGGAATTTTTCTGGACTATGGACCTGGTCTGTGAAATATGAAGAAGGCAGCAGGAGATTCTGCGAGTCTGCCTTTATCACCAAAAGCTCTCAAATCTTTTGTCTTTCCAAGTTGATATCTTTGTCTTTGTCTTCTATGTGTATGATACCTCTTTTTCACCCTGAGATGTTTGTATTCTCTTTGTGTTTGCGCGTTAGAAACTTCAACACGCCCACTCGCTCGTGGTGAAACCTGCGGACATTATCCTGCTGTATTCTCACATGGCTCATTTGGACATTGTCCAGATTTTTTACCAGGGGGCTGGCAGGAGAAACTCCAGAGATTGTCCCGGAGCCTCTGACTTGGATATTTGCGTTCTCACGTAAGGCAACTCCAGATAATGTCTGAAGATTATCCGGAGTTCATTTCCCATCCTTTACTATATATATGTATATACATATACATTTTCATGCATCCCTTCATTCTGATCCCCCCTCCATAGACAACAAATACAATAAATCCACTTTAGCATTGTGAGTATGGACAAAAACATGTTGATGAAGAACCTTACTGGTGCTACTACACACACATGAAGTGAGACCCATCAGCGAGCTGAGGGGGTGTGTTAGGAGACTGTGGAGGGGGTGGGGAAGAGGATGACAGGCTTTTCACTGCAACGAAACAGAGCAACATGATAAACACACAAAGGCACTAAAAAAAAAATAACAAAAGCAAATTGCATGTGTAGCTAACAGCCCAAAACCACAAAGAATGATTGAAGTCAATGAAATTAATGAAGAACAGCAATGATAAATGAGCCAACACATGTACAGTGGAAGTAGATACAGTTTGATAAAGCACAACATACAGAAGAACATGCCCCCACCCCCACTATTCTCTCACTTACCTGCTACCAGCTTGCTGCGTTTGGAGGCTTCAGCTGCCAGCTCGTACGAGATATTAATCATCTTCTCTTTCTCCTGTATGTTCACCTCCTCCTCAGTCTCCTCCTCTGGGCTCAGACCCGTGCTTGGCAACACGCTATGCATACTACGAGCAGGAGCAAACACACACAAACATGTGCACACACGCAAACACAAACATGTGCACACACGCAAACATACCATAATGACTTCAGTAAACGATAACATATGCAACTTTAATTCCAAACATACTTCCAGACTAAACATGTTTACCAGTGGATAAACAATCTTTTTAAAATCAACTCAAGAGGGATGACATTTTGATTTAAATGCCACAGTGGCTGCAAGATGAGAGTGTGAACTACTCTGCACATCTAAGGCACTGATCTGCATCGAGAGAGAAGGCAGGCAGCACAGACGCGTTTGTTCTTGAAACATCTATGATCATGATCTGCTGTGACCCCGAACTTCACAGAGTCTGATCCATAAAGATCAGGGTGGGGGTGTGGATAAGGATATTAAGGGGTAAAAAAATGTGCAAGACCCATATATCAGCTGACATATTGTTTCTGTTTAAATTTCAAATTATTTCTGAAATGTTAGTTTAACCAATTCATTTTTTATGTAATATATAAACATAAATGCACATCATACCTGCATTGTTCATTCTGTAAAATGATTTATAATTGATATCAAATAGTTTAGTGTGCTTTTTTATATTATATGTATTGATTTTTATTCTATATATCCCAGTATATCAGTCAGTCTCTAAAATAAAACCCAGAGATCTAGAAAAATTTAAATCTAAAATCGGAAGTATCAGGGATCACATGCACATAAAGCCTCCTTCACCAAAGCATCCTTATTTAATTTCAGAAATGCGAGCAGATCTTTCTTTGCCATCAAACTGTTACCAGTGATGATGGATCACGGTGCTGTGTGTTTACCTGTTTTTTGCTATAAGAGCTTTGATGCGGTCGACTTTCCTCTGCTTGTCAGCCTCCTGCTCAGGGCTCAGAGCCTCCTCAGGGTCCGACTCAATGTAACGTTCAGGAATCAGCACTTTGTCAGGCACAGAAAGCTGATAACACACCCAGAGAGCAGACACTTTATATAGCACACTTCATAAATGACTGATGCTCATTATTATCATCATAGAAAACTGGAAGACTGTTCCACATTCTCCAAGAAAATTCAATATGGAAATATAAACTGTAGGGAGTTAATTCCCTTAAACCTTTTTTACTTTTATAAAGTTTCTAAGACACCATGGAAACCCTGTATTAAGGAGATTAGCAGATCAAAAGCATAATAGTAATACCATAATTAATTATTTTCTTGAAATATTCCAGATTGAATATTCCATATTCCCCAATACTCAATGTTGTGCTGGTAAACTCTTCCTAAATAATGTGCCTGTGTTAATATTAGCCTTCTCAGCTGGATGAGTAAGACGACCAACTGCTGTGTCTTACCTCTCGGTCCACATTAAAGTGGTCAGCCTGCGAGGCTTCTCTAAGACGTGCAATCTCCTCGGCGGGCGTCTCCTGCTCCCTCACCACCTCCTGCTGCCTGAGAGAGGCCTCCAGCTCCTGAATGTCGCAGCTCATCACCTCATCTCTGCGTCTCATGTGGGACTGGAAAAGACACGTAAAAAGCAAGACACAGATGCAGTGAGATCCAATCACATGACAGGGTTCAAGGATAAGATTGAAACCTATATTCAACTTCAGTGCTGAGTAATTGTCTAAATAATGCCTGCAATATCAATACCTGTATGCTGCGGGTGCCTTTAGTAAACGAGTGACTGCGGGAGGGTACGTTGTCCTGGCCACTGCCCCGGATGTTGAGGCCTTTCTTCTTCTCCCTGAGGGCCCCCTGCTGATGGCGGCGGATCCTCTCCAGCTGCTCCTCCACACTCATCCTGGGCCGACCACTCTCCACAGCACACAGCTGCTGCTCCACTGCGCTGTGTGGACGCTCCTGTTTGCAAGGGTGGACAACAACAGACACGCAGACATAAAAATAATGATGCATCGCGATCAGTCAAGCAAAGCAAGGACACAAATTCCAACTTGCCAACAAGACAGAACTACAGTTAATGTTTTTAACTGCAGCCCTTTTCCACTGGTCACAAAACCCACTAACATCCCCTAACATCTGGCTTTTGTCTGCAATGGGAATGGATACAATTGGCATTCACTTCCGGGTCGAACATGAAGCATAGAAGGGGAGAAAACAGAAAAGCTAACTCTTAGTTTATTACCTTTTTAGGGAGTTTACCCACATTAAAGTAAAACCCATGTATGCCCACTAATTTTGGTGTAAAGGAAATAGAACTAATGTTTAAGCATCAGATACTCAATGCTAGGACACAAATGCCAGCAGCATCACAGTTTTTACTAAGCAGAGCTACAGTTGATGTGTGGAACTAAATGGAATCCTCATCTGGTTGGGTCACTTCTCATAATGCAGCACTTCCACTAAATACTAAGTATTGGTGAAATAAATCTAATCTTGACCAAGCAGAATAATCCCATTTTCTCAGCCCACTGGAAAAATCTTTTGCCCCTTCAAACAGTCATGATTGACATAATGACCACAACAATGATGGTGAAATGGCTCTTTAATGTTCACTCTCTTAGAACAAAACTGAGCGAACGCATATGGAAACCACCTGACTACTTTGCACTCGCACGCTCCTGCTGGCACACATGGGTGCACTCAGATACGCTGGGGGCCTATTAATGCCTGAGTGGGAGAGAGAGGGAGATCATGGTTGATGTTGTGAAGTGAACTAAGGAGAAGTTGTTTGGTTTGTGCACACCTGAGGGGCCGGCAGAACTAGAATCAGTCCAGAGCCCGAGGACGCAGACATCCCCTCTCCAGATTGTTCAAAGGGCCCATGCTGAACTCTATAGGCCTATGACACACTTGAAACCACGGACTGCACTCTCAGTCCTCCAGGGAAAACTGTGAGCATGTGTGTGCTGCTGACGCTTCACATATGTTCATTTATACTTCATGTCCATCTTTTTTCCAACTCAGACATAGTAAAAACAGGACACACCCAACAGTGTGGTGCACTAATGACATGGTGTCTATATTTAAGCTGATAGCCGTTTGAGGCTGGAAACTGTATAAACCCAGCTTGGCATCTATTTTGTGACAGCGTGGGTTTTAGGGCACGAGTCACACCCTGGCCACGTTACGAGCGGCCTTTTCTGCACATGTTCGCTTCAAGCAGCAGCTAAATAACAAGGACAAACAAATAAAGAGGCTTAAGAAATTATGTTGTTACCAGTTCAAGATAAGAAGAGGAAAAAAACATTTGTAAATCATTCATATTATTTGTAATGCTACTGCTTTGTTTGCCACAAAATGCAGCCCTTATTACATTGTAGAGCTCATTCCAGAACTAATAACAATAACTGACACCATGTGTTAACCCGATCACATCACCTCCAGAGGAAAACAAGGTCGAAGGACTCACCATCCTGGGGTCAGGCTTCTTGCTCTTCCTTAGCGTAACATATGAGGCGATGGAGGACGAATCAGGCACCGGAGATTTGGTTCTGGGTGGGACGATGCCAACTGGGTAGGAGATTCCTATTAAAAGGTTCAATAGCAGAGCACCTGCTGTAAATGTATTTGTTGTGTGACATGAGTTTGCACAAAACTAAAATATGAGGTACATGTTGGAACAGAAAACTCTTCATAGATACTTATACATGCCAGAAGATAATTATTTGTTAATATCCTTTATCAAAGGAGACCTGCCTAAGAAAAGCAGTAACACAGGTTCAACAGGGAAAGTAATTAACAGACAAACACATAGATAAATAAAATCTAAATCATATAAAAACTTTCACACACAAACCTGGACTCAAAACATTTAGTTTTAGATTCAGATTTAACATTTAGATTTAACATTTAGAATTAGATTCAGATTTTAGATTGCACATTTAGATTTAGATTTAGATTTAAATTTAACATTTAGATTTAGCATTTAGATTTAACATTTAACATTTAAGTGTAACATTTAACATTTGGATTTAAATATTNGTTAAATAGTCATCAGTACACCTACTGGAGTTTTCTCATCAGTTATTAATTATTAATATTTTTCCATCTGTAGGAATAAACCGGCATATCTGTGAAACCCTCAAGTTTAACCCTGCACCATGGCATCATGCTCACTCCAATGACAGTTACAGAATTCCCAGCAGAATTTGCAGGCAGCATCAGCTGCGATTGTTACCATTGATTGCTGAGGCTACGGTGTAATGATTAAACCCCACAACACCTGAATTATGCTTTGCAAGCTGTTTAACCTAATGTCGAACCGATTTACTCTGCAAGTACATTTAATCCATCTTGTCGAGAGAAAGTATTGTGCCATTAAATCAAAATACAGTCGAGTAAAAACAATAACTAAGTGATCCTGGCTCTTACACACATTTCAACCTAATAAAACTGAGCAGTATGGCGATTTATGTAATGTAAATAGATCACCTGGGCACTGGGTAATGGCTGACATGAAATTTCACAATCAAATGTGATACACTGATCTAAGGTCAGTCTGACCATGTATTTTTTATTTAGCTACTGCCAGTGCTAGAAACAGGTTTAGCAGGTTTTACTGTATGTGGTTTCTTGCTGGCAGCAAGTTGTGGTGGTAAGTATTATGATTATGAGATGGGATGTTATGGAGCTAGCTAGTTAACATGTAAACTTTGGGAGAAGGAAAAAAATGGATGTTTTTTTTTTCCCAAAGTCAAGCCGGTCCTCACACAGTAATTGCTGTACAGTAGTTGGTGCTGCCCAGCTAAGTCTATCTAGCTATCGTTAGCATACACCAGCAAAGGACAAATGTTGTTTTAATCTATTGACATCCACAATTACAGCAAGAGACACAGCATCTTGAAAACGCCCGCACTTGGATACAGAAACAAATATCACACAACAACCTAATGAAAACAGTATAATTTTACATAATAAGTTTAAGTGTATGATTTATAACTTACTGGGAACAACACATAGTTATGAGAAACTGGCATCATGTTGCCTGTTCTTATTTTATTCTTATGTACCTTTGTTTCCGGGATGTTCTCTTTCAGATGGATGTTCCGACCTGTCCTCTCCATTACTCTCATCCACTTCAGCTACTGTGGTGAGCTCTGGTTCACTCTTATACAGCCTGTAGTCTGGTCCCTGCAGAGGAACATCAGAAAGATTAAACAGTGCTGATGTGCTGATGGAGAGTTTGGTTCCAAACTGGAAAACTAAGATTTACAAAGTGACAGTGGAAAAGGCAGGCCAATGTTAAAAACAAAAATAAACACAGCTTGAAGAAACAAAACCCTTATGTAGTGAGATTTTGAATCAGTGTTTTCCAAATAAATAAACAAAAGTAAGCAGCAAACACTTAATCTCAGATGTGGCTTGAACAGAAACAGGAAATGAAGCAGCATAATTCAATTAAAACAAGAAAACCAACAAGGCTTCATCCATCTACCTAAAAAAAACATGATGGAAATATGGCATCAAGTAAAAAAACAGATGATCCAACCAAAAACAATCCAGACGACATGAGATGTCCATCAAAATGAAAAGTGAAAACCATCACAGCGAGCAATGGCGTGCGATGACAAAGGTGAAGGCGGGGTCAATGCAAACGAGCTTACACTGTGCGTGCCATTCCTGTGACTGGTCTTCTTCTCCTCTGCCCTGTGGAGTGATGAAGGGCGAACACCAGTGGGAGAGGGCACGGGGGGCACTGGGGGGGGGTTGGGTTCGTAGGACTGGGGTAGGGGTGGCCGTGGGGGTGCCGAGTCCTCCTCCTGGGGATTATACAGGGCATGACTGGACAGGAAGCAAGGGGACACATGGCACCGCCACGCACGCTCAGGGCGACCACCATCTGGTACTGAGTTACTCCGGCCCACAGGACGGGTAAAGCAGCTGATTAGCCACAGAGAGGGCTCCACATGCTGCTCGAGCATGACTGACACATCCACTCTAATAATACCAGTGACTCATAGTGCTCATGAGCAGAGCTGGCATTTTAAGCCCCCAGCTTACGATGATCGTCAAATACACAACTGGAAGAGATGTTGGTGAATTATCTCAGACATCAACTCCAGAGAATGTCCACACAATGGGGTCCAGACTTTCTCCAGAGATTTCCTGTCACAAATTAACAATGCAGCAGGAGGTTCTCCAGGTCAGACGCTTTCATAACAAGAAAACGTCTAAAGCCTTCAGGTGGGGGTGTGGCGCATTATGCAGAATGTACTCTATAAAGTCCACTGAGGAAATCACATGCTTTTATTTCAAATCTAATTGTTTTTCCAAGTTGTCATCTTCTTTTGAGCCTTCTACATGTACAGTATGACACATTTCATCCTGAGATGTTTGTATTCTATTTGCTGGTAAAGACCCCTCCGGAGAATCTACTGCATCTCACATGGGCTCACTCTGACATTCTCTGGAGTTCTTACTAGGGGGCTGGCAAGACTCATTATTTCCAGATATTTCCATTCTCACATACAGCCCCTTTGCCTGAAATTTTCTGGAGGGGCTGAAAGCATGCAGCTTTAATGTGTTGTTAAAAATGTAATTGCTTGGAAGATTGGAAACAAATATATAAAAAGAGGACACATTCTGACATTTAATAAGTTGGACCCAGAAAATCTTGTTTGATAAATGACTTAAATTATTTTATAAATAGTTTTCAGTTGTGCCTCACCTCATTTTTGTGCTTACTGAAGCTGTTCTTGGGCCCATAGAAACCCATCCCATCAGCAGCGTTTCTCTGAGCCTTGTTTTTATTGAGGGCCTCTGTCACATCTTGAATCCTCCACAGCTCTTTCTGAATGTGGACGTGCTGCTGGCTGGGAGGCTCCGTCTGAAAAAACACATAGACGTTCACAATTCACCAGACATCACCTAAAGATTCACCTCTAATTCTCAAGTTAATAATAAAGTAAGATTAACATGCAGAAGATAGTGTGTGGAATGTGGAACAGTGAGAGGAGAGATCATGTATCTGCTAAGGTGTGCAGTCCTTTAAGAGCTTTGTAAGAAATATTATCCTCAGAATGTGATCAGCAAAGGGGAGAGATGAGAAGAGAGTTAAAGATAGACTGGGGAAAGAAGGGAGAACAGAGGAGTAAGAGAAACGGACACGTAATTATCTCCTCCTTACTGATGATAGGTTTCTCCGAGTGTGAAAGGCACTTAGGAAGACAACTGACAGCTTCCCTGCTGGCCCTCTGACCTCTCTAATCCGAACGAGCCTCTGCTCTGGCTCAGATTCAACCAGGAATAACTGTTAGATGTGTTTTCTCTGTGTTTACACCTCTCACATGATTAATGATAAAAGATAAAAGAAAGATTTAATTAAGACCTGCTCTTAATTCTCTTTATTCCCTCCCTCCAAATCCAGCAAAGGACACAGGAGCACAGACTTTTTCCCCAAAGTCAAGAAAAGTGAAGACAAAAAAACTGTTCAAGGTGATTTGCCACACTTCCAGCTTTCTTTGAAGCTCTGAGGAACGAGTACCTCTACCAAAGCCTGACAGCTCAAGAATGATCCTACCTGAGGGCTTCCCAGTGCTTCTAACTGCTCCAGCAGGTTGTTCTTAGCCAGAGTCACATCTCCCTCCAGCTTGTCATAGTCCCTCCACGACCGCTCCAACTCCTGGTTTGGGAGAGATACAATGACAATGTTAGAAAGAAACTCATCATAATAACACTCCTGAAGAAAAGGGATTTCAGTGTCATGTGTGTTTGTTTGTGTTATAACGTCTTTTGTGACTCACAGCAGTGACTCTGGACAGCTCTCTGCAGGTGCTGAGCAGGCCGCTCTGCAGTAAGTCTCGCTGCTGGATGATGCTCTGCATGGCAACAGGGTTATCACAGCCCATCTCTATCTCCTGGCTGGCGGACAGCAGCGCAGTCTCAAGGGTGTGCTGAAGTAACACACAACACACCAAATACTTACATAACATTTCAGGTCAGTTAACTTGAGCAAACATTATTGGATGGTTATTTAAGCCCGTGGCACGGATTCCAACACTTTAATGTTTACCTTGTTTTTGGCTCAGATACCTCGTCCAGAATTTTAAACTAAAAAGCATGTCTGCATACAACTTTCTTTTTTCCTAATTAAGTGATTGTTGAATTCATAAAAATGCTGCACAGGGACCAATACAACAAATATAATACAGCCCTGTACATCAAAAAAACCAGGATGGAGACAGTTTTCTCTCTTTGTCACATAGATTTAACTCAGGCTATTCTTAGAACTTTTAAACTGTGCATTATTTTTAGTTTATTCTTTGTCCAGTTGGCACCACACCCCTGTAAACAGTGTGATATTGGGAAGAAGACAGATGTGCTGTGTTTAGTCACCTTCTCTCTGTAAAGCTGCTGAAGTTTTTCCTCCTGTGTCCCCACCATTTTATCCTGCTCACACAACAGGCTCAGTTTGGTCTAAAGAGAAAAGGGCAAAGAGTTGTGATTGACTGTGAGCAGCTGAAAGGAGAATTGTGTCGTGTGTCACATCACACTGAACTTACATCAATGTCCATTTCTCCTGGCATGAATGTGTAGGCGTGTTCTCTGTAGTCGTCTTGACTCAGCTGTGGAGAAACACAGGACGTCAGACAGAGATGACAAATATACAAATGCACAGAATGTGGAGATCTAATGCAGTATCACGACGAGGCTCTCTCTCTGAGCCTCCAAATGAGTCCCAGAGTAAAGACTAATGTTTCAGACCATCTAAGTTAGCACACCAACAATGGGGAGAGCAGCCAGTCTACAGTCTCTCCTCTGATGATGCTGGTGCTTCATGTTACATCAGCCACACTGGTTTGTCTCCATCAGCATAAAGTGGTGGCTTGTTTTTTTGGAAATGCGAGGGGATGGCGTCATGTAAAACAATCTTAACTACTGAAGTCTAGAGTCAGCGCAAAAACTGTATCCAACAACTGTGTTCTATCCAGCACATGCTCTGCAGCTAATTGCTCCAAGTACTCTGCCTGTTTCATAGCTGCGCTCAACTAAAGTGCAATATTTATTAAAGATGAATAACAAACTAACCACAGATCCTGTTGTGATGTTTAAACACTCATAATGCTTATAGCTATTATAAACAGGCATTTAGTATTAACCCAAGCGAAAATATACTCATTAAAATACAGGCAGTCTCAATATGTTGCTACTATAAGACTGCATTGGATCCCATGTTTGCAAGTAATGTATTCATCACATAATACATCATTATTCACTCACTCTTCTAAAACTGTGCAGACAATAGTGTCAGGACAGTGACATGTTTCTGTGTTGTTTTGGGTTTGTTCTCACACTGATTATGAAATGTGTGATGCTCTGACAGAACTGAACTGGAGCATCTTTTCTTGTGATCATATCATAAATCACATTTCCCTGAAGGAAACATTGGTTGCTTTGCTTGTTGAGTATGTTTAGGTGCATTACTCTTAAATTTAAATGGAATAATTAAATTTAAAATATAACATGCTGGCCAACAGAGTCAAAACAACAACGCACATCTCACTGTCAAAAATACTTTCAGACTCCAACACTCCACACTAATACCTGCACTCTGTCACACACGTTTGTTTAACACCTTGTTCCTCAGTTAAACCACAGAACACAGTTAAAGCAGGTGGGACCTCAGAACCACATTGCATTCCACACAGAACATGCAGACACTTCCACAGCTCCGAGGGCTTCGCTGTGGTGTTGTGTGGACTACGTGTGACATGAGGAGGAGGAAGACGGGGACAGTTTTCTGGCAGCTGAACAGGTGGGAATGCAGCTGTTGCCGGGCTGGAATGCCAGACAACGTGGTGAAGGTGGGTGGGAGTGGTCCTCAGCTGCACTTTTAAACTTCAAAAGTGGCAAAGGGGTGTCAAAGCCATCGTCACATACAACAAGCCGGCTCTCTTTATTCTTTCCATCAGCAGAATGAAAGAGGGGGTGAAGAGGACGGAATGAGGAAGACGGGTAAAAAGGAGGAGAAAGTTTACCTAGAAAACATTTGTCTTCATCTTCAGCAGTGGCCCCCTGACTTTATTAGGTCTTATTCGGTATTAAGTCTATTCACTGGCTGATGCTCAAGTATGTCTAGTCTAACATCCACTAACAACAAGATTTGTTGAAAAGAACAGACCGCAGTCTGTGCTAGAAATATATGTATATGGATGTTTATGGATGTTGGACATATAATGCCCCCCCCCCCCGATCAAATTGTGGCCCCTTCATGGCCCCGATTTAGAAAAATCCTACATCTGCCACTGCAGAAAAACCATCCCTGGCAGGCTTTAAGTTGGGTGTATCTTTTTTCACAAATAGATGCAATATTTGGTAATGAACTGAAGTGACAAGTCTGGTAATGCAGAATTAACTCAAGCTAATTGGAAACCTCCTGCCAAGACCAGGTGGCTAATGAGAGAGAACACATTCGGCAAACGCTTATGAAAAATCACACACTGACCTTCACTGTTTGGGGCTCTAGATAGAACTAGATGAGTAACAACTACTGGGCTTTGCGATCTAAATGATAAGTCTGTGAATAAAGCTTTAACCTCTTGTTTAGGATAGTCCGACAGCAGGCTGAATATTTTCTAAACACATCAAAAACCCTAAACAGTATCCAGCTAAACCTGAGAGTGAGGAGGGAATTTAACTGAACAGCAAACAAGTCATGCCCAAACTTGGCATGACTTCTAGTAATAACAGAGGAACAGTCAAAAAGCAATGGATGAGGAGGTGCTGGCAAAACACACAATACAGGGGAGACCGGTCTCAAGATGCCACAGGGACTCGGACATCGAAGGAGGAGCATTGCACAACAGACCAAAAAGGGACAACAGCGACTGGTGAGGATGAGGCGGAGCAGAGCCTATGAGCTGGCCTTACTTGCTGGTAAAGTTGAGGCCTTGGGGCAGAGTTCTCAATCAAAGAGTGAGTCATGACGATTAAGGGGTCATTTTCCTTCATCTAGTCCAGTGTGGAGAGGAGCGATAGAGCATGTGTCAGTTTATAGCAGTGCTTCACTTCAGAGACAACACACCCACAATGTTGAGACACCCTCACTCGCTCAAGCTCTCTCTCTCATTACCCAGACTCATACCTACGTGTGCATCCACCATGTGACAGGGATGGATAAGGCAATTAGAAATCCTCAAACCAGCATCAACACATTGTCGTGCAAAACTCCAAGATGCTTACTTATTAATAGCAGCCTTCCAGTTCTTTGTTTTTTTTCTTATCCTTATTTGAGAGAATGGTCTTTAAGTTTGAGAGCAGGACTTATTGATTTCATGTTCACATTTTGTAATGCTTTCACTCAAGCCTGGGCTCACACCTAAATAGCCCCTGCTTCTGCTGAAACCATGCGCTTGCACTCAGATATTTTGTTGCTTGGAAAGATTTGCTGCACTCCCATTTCAGCTCATCTCTGCACGCTCATTCTCCCTCTGTGCACATGTTAAACACCAGCTCTTTGATTTTTTTGTGTGCAACAATAGAAAGTCAGGTGTAGTGTTGACAAATGAAATTGCCCTACCCTTGTTGTGGGTGTGTTAGCCTAACTATTTTGAGATTCCTGTAAGGGAGTGTATGAACCCTGATCACTCAGAAACCACCCGTACCAGACTCTCAAAGAAGTAAAGCTTGAAAAACGCATAAGAAAACAATCCAAGAGCAGACATTTCAAGTGTGCACAGAAGCAACTTGACTAAGAGGAAGCGCAGGAAATCTGACCAACCAAAAAAACATAGTTTCAGCACAAGCAGAGCAAATCCAAGCCCAAGCAGATTAGAGTGCAAACACAGGGTTTTGACTGAATGCAGTACAAGATCTGAATGTGAAATCATGTCCTGCTCTCAAACTGAAAGACCATTCTCTTGAATAAAGTTAGGGAAAAAAAACATGCACGATATCGAACGTACTCTATGTAGCAAAATTATAAATATCTTCATCACTGCACATATCTGGGGTCAGCTCCTTTGATTATGAAATCATCTTCTGTTGAATCATGTGTTTGTGTTCAAAAAGTGCACTTTCTTAATTACTCAAATTCTCAATGAAAAAATTTCAGTTTAAGAAAAATCTTTTCCAGACACTGAAGCTTGTCCACATGCCCCAACTACACAGTATAGTTAGTAAAGCTGACAGCAAGTGCAGGGTGTGTATTTAAATTGATTAATGAATTAAATGGCCCATCTAGAGACAGGAGCTAGAAACTAGCATAGGCTAAAATGCTGTGGTAATGTAACACTGCTCCATGATTATGTAGTTATCTCTATAAAACAAAAAACTTTATTATATGCATATTGATTAATTTAACAATAGCAAAGCATTATATAAGTTCAGTTGATGTGAAGAGGAGACAGGGCCATGCATTCATGCATTACCCCACCTGATTGTCCAAAAACATGAGGTTCCTTTGGAGGTGGTGAGAGAGTATGTCATTCTAGCATCAGCAGCAAAGAAGAGAGAAGAAAAAAAGCAACAGGAGAGTAAGACAAAAGAGAGAAAGTCACATTTTCTTTCTTACACATTCTCTCACACACACACGCTCGCAGAGATTAACACACACACACCACACATGCAGGCATGTCATGTACAGTGTACCCAAAGAAAACCAGGAGGAAGGAGGGGAGGACCAGTCATGGTGGAAAAATTAGGTTAGGTACCAGATGCACTATATATAGTAACAGAGTGAGTGCAGTATTAGAGCTCTATACTGATGAAATGGCCATGTGCTGTCTTGAACAAGTGCAGGCAAATTGCTCCTACATCAGGTAAGGCATCCATATTTTTAGCGAAACTGGTACATATGGTAAAGATCTTAGATTCATTGTAGAACATTAGTTTAATAAAAAGGCAAAAGTCAAAGTCATTACTGACCCATATCACAGGATCTCAACCATTCTCCACCTCACGCCTACTTGACCTAAATCAGTGACAGTCAAATCTGTCGTCTCAGAGGAGACTTAAAATGTAAAAATCCTGAATTAACATTAACGTTTGCCAGTGTTCTTAACCTCCTTAGCCTTTCGCTCTTTTAAGCTCGCCAATGGCTTTAAGCTTTATTTCCGGGTAACATCTGTCTGGACTCTTTATGGCATAAAAAATGTCTCAATCAGCTGCTTGTCCAAATGAGACTATATCATCAATTGTAAGAAGTTGCATCTTCAGTTTTAAGTCTTTTTTGTCTCGAGACATTTCACATAATTTGGAAAAAGCTGATATCCAAAGTAGCTGATCCCCAAATATGCTGAGCGGGCAATTCAAGCCAAAGTACAATGCTTTACGGAGAAAATGCCCACTTTAGTGCTTTTCCCCTTAAGTCAGCCATGTGTTAAGACTAAAGAAAATACTCTGGATCAAGATGGATAATGGTCGTGGGTAAAGATGGCATACACACCACATGATAACACACACGCCTGCGGAGGCATCTCTGGGGGCCTGACCTTTGGGTTGTCACCATCCATGTTTAGTTGCATAAGCTGTGCTACAGTGTGCTCCCGGATACTGTTTAGCTCTGCCTGCTGCCGCCGCAGCTTTATCAGCAGCAGAGTCAGTTCCTCAGGCTGCAAGGGAGGGAGGGAGGGACATACAGCCATAGTGGAACAGGGACACACCGCAGGGGGGGGCGGGAAAGGAAAGGAGAGAACACACCAGGACAGGAAATTTTAGAGGCGTCAAGCTCCCGACAGGTGAAGAGATTATATCCAGGTAGTGAGTGTTCATGCAGCTCAGGACCACAAGATTATCCAGGGTGCATTCAGCAGCGGGCAAATTCTACAAGTCCACTCAAGACAGGAAAGTTTAGCATTTATTACACAATCACAGTTCACACAGTTTCCCAGCTCTGTGAGGACACAGCACCGTGTACGGCTTTGAAATAAATTCCTGATCTGACTTAGAGCGTTGTGAGTGACAGGTTTTTTTAAGTCTCCATTAGAGGTGAAGAGCTCTGCCTAGTTCTGCCTAAAACTACATCTGAAGATTCTGTCTCTGTCTTCTTGGAGGGAAATGAAAGACAGAAAGAGGAAGAGGCAGGTAATGTTATGAAAACAGCCTCGTCTCCCTACCTGTGTGTGTGTGTGTGTGTGTGTGTGTGTGTGTGTGTGTGTGCGTGCATGCGTGTGTGCGTGCGTGCATGCGTGTGTGTGTGTACACGTGCAGAGCAACCGGGGCGTGAAATTACTGGGTGGTGCATTTTACAGAAATTCATGCATGTTTCTTCACTGACTTAGCCTGGGCAGTTAGAAGACAGCGAAGGACACAGGAGGGGACAACTTAGGCGAGGACTTACTGTTTTGCCTTGGAGAGACTGGGCAGTGATGGTCTGGACTGGGATCCCTGCGGGCATGGACCTCCTGTCAGGTGGGTAAGCATACTGCAGGACACAGTCAAACAAAAACAAACATGACTGTCAGTTACACCATGGACTGGATTCACCCAAATACAAACATTTTGTACACAGTGGCATTTTAGCAATTTCAGTTCCAAGATTTTGGTGGTGCACTTTAGTGTGTTATAGCAAACAATAACTTTTATATTCATGTAAATGTTACAATACATTTTGTGTTCCTGAATACATCCATCGCAGATTTCTGTCACTCAAGACATTGAAAACATGGTGATGTAAGTATAGTTAGGGAATAAGCTCTTGACACTCTAACAGCTGGTAAATGGACCTTGGAGAGTCTATCTCTCCTCGTTTCATCCACAAAAGTGATATTTAAAAACATAGCACTCACATTCTGTTGCCTGGACAATCAAAGGTTCATATGTAATTACTTGGAAGGGCGATTTCTTTGGACGTAGCTCTAAAGTAATCAGTTAAAATCATATTCTAGCAGCCATAGTGAAAAGAGATGTTGCTGCTGATTTTTATGACATATTTTAAATCCAGTGCAGCAGGTTGGGTCTGAGGGTCTGAGGGATGGATAACTCAACACCTGAGCAATGCGACAATAACTAGCTTTATAAAAATATTAAATATTGTGTGAGATATGTTCTTTTGTTTTGTTGTTCTTTGGGCGTTTGTTTTCCTGAACTGACCTTGTTGAGCTGCGGCCTGTGACGTCTGTCGATGCTCATGTCTCTTCTATAAATGGGGGAAGACACCTCGGAATGAGCACTGTTCATGTTGTAGGATCGCATTGGGGAGTAGCCACCGTACATGGACAGCGAGCCATGGGAGGGTGAGGCGGGGATGGAGTGGCTCGGTGCGGCGTGCTCCGACAGGTTGATCATGGTCTTGGGACTGGCCATGTTGCCGTAGAGCCCCGGCTGCCTGGTGTACGCCTGCCTCTGCTGCCACTCGTACAACTGCCACATGGTATCGTCGCGCATGGAGCGGCGCTTGTCAGGTGGCATGGAACCCAAAACCTGCTCGTACAGCGACGGCGACATGCTGCAGATGCTGTCCCGCTGTGCCATGCTATTCCTGGGCATGCTGCGGTATCCATCACCATAATGCGGCATGTAGGGGACCCGATGGCTTGGCATGTTTCTAGGCAGTGTCTGGTACGACGTGATGCTGGGGAAAAAGAACCGATCACCATCATTAATTGGCAAATTTTATTGACTTGGTTCACAGAAATTCTTTAACTGGAGTATGGTGAAAGTCAAACAATTAATAATCCATATCACTATTTACTTATAAATGAATAATCACAATTGAGAAGCAGAGACACTCATTTCACAAGTAGTTTGAGTAAAGACCTTTTATATATTTCTTTATATGTTTCTTCTATACCACCATCCCTCAAAGCAGGTGAGAGTTTAATTATCCCACAACTACAACTTCCTATAATGAGATTTTGTTAGATACATAAAAAGTTAATTCCTGCTGTTTTCAAAGAAGAGAAGTTGTTCACTTTAAATTAGACATTAAATCCTCTGCATTTTAAGACCACACAAATACAGAGCCACAACTTGGCAGCTTTCTCTCAGATCAGAAAAAAGTTCTTGTTTTACCCGTTTACAACTTTGCAGTGCAACATCCAGTTAGTTTTGTTTCTGGTATATTTCGAAATGTCCTAACTTTTCCTGTCGTTTCAGTTCCTGTTTCCCGGTCACTTGATTATCACTCAGCTGTACCTGATTTGTCAGCCACGGAGTTACCACCAGTAAACCCCCTATATTCTCTGTCTCGAGTGTCATTGTTTTTCTTACTGTTCACATGCTCTTGTGTGTTTGAGCCTTACAGGAATTATTGGATCATGGACCTTTGTCTGTTCCTTACACGTAATAATAACCCTGATTCTGACTTTGTGTATGAAACAAACACCAAACTTCTTAAACTACACCTTCATCTTCTATGTGTTCAGTGCACACAAATCAGAGACTTCCCTTCCCTTTAATCCGACATTATAATACACCATTTTTCATCTGTTGCAATTTCATCCAACATCTGCCATAAATTAGTTCACATCTTATTTATCTCTTTTTTCAATATGTGTAAGTTCATTCAGTTGTGTGCAATATCCTAATGTCAGTTTGTATTAGGTTTATCTATTTATTCTTTTGTCTATTAAGTTTTTACTTTACTTACATTTTAAATTACAGTCCTGCACTGGATGCAACATAATTTTGTTTTACTGTGCACTTGTCTTGTGTCTGGTATAAATGAAAATCTTGAACTTGATCTCAAATGGCTTCCAGTGTCACATGTAGTTGCGAAGCATCTCCTGTCTAGATTCAAATTGGATTCACATCCTCTGCTCTGGATGTGTCTGAATAGCACAACACGACATCAATCAAGCTGACCACAGTATGGAACAGTTGGTTACAGAGTAATATTTTTTAAATGTTTCTGTATGTTTTCAGTAGATAAAAAGAAGCAAGACCCAGGGAAAAGCTACACTTTGAACACAAAATGTTAAAAGTCAGAACTCTGGTTTGTAAAACCCAGTAGAATTTAAGAAAAGCTTGTGGCTGACAGACAGAGACTGTTGGACTGTGGGAGAATGGGAAGCGTCAAGCTCTAGTCATGGTTTATCTTCTCAAATACATGCCTATTTTTTCAAATTAATGTACTCAGTGAGTGATTGGGGGAAAAAGAGGCAAGGCTGTGTCAAACATAAGCACAAGCAGGGTGAGCAGATGGAGAGACAGGCAGACGGACATGGTGAGAGCTTAATCGGGACCAATTAAAAATGGGACTGTCACAGCATGGTCAGAGGAAGACAGTTATTCCTACTAACAGCTCTGCCATTCTTCATCCCTAGTTCTATTACGCCATTTTCAAACATGATCTATGGAGGATCATCAGAGAATGTAACCAACTGATTCTGTTGCAGAGATCTCGTATTTTTGTTTGTAGCACATCGACACAACAAACTCTCTTGACATCTTTATTTGTGTCTTCGACGTGTGTGACACCACTTTGCAACCTGAGATATTTGCTATCTTTTCTTTTTTTTTTTGTTGAGATTGTCGCTTGTTAGACACACCCAGTCTCTCCTGGTGAATCCTGCAGAGGATCTCCTGCTCTGTTCTCTTATCGGCTCCTCTGGACTTTCTGCAGACTTCATGCTAGACTAGAGGCTCTCACTCGGACATTTGCGTTCGAATGAATAGCCCCTGCAGAGAAACTTAGGAGGATCTCCAAAGTTCAAAGCAGCTTTAATAATGTCAAAGTGGTTAAATCATGGTAAGGAGAGTGGGATTTACCTGGTTTTTAAACAACACAGCTTTAAAAAGCAATGGTTCTAATGAGCTTTGGAAAATCAGTGCCTGTGAATGAACTGTATGTGTGCACTTGAGGAGAATCCCTCTTGTCTGAATCAGCAGTTAAGCCAAGTTCCCCTTCGTATCGAAGTAGGACAACAGCAGCCTCATGTGCAATAACCTAAAAACAGTGTGTGCTGGTATTTTTTCTCCTTTCCTGACACACATATGAATGAGGTCACACAATGAAATAACAGAAACAGTAATATTTAATCATTAATTTGCCATATAATCAAACCAACCTCCTGGTGTCATCGTCCTGGTTGCGCACCCTTTGTGTGCGAACCCACTGCTCCAGCTGCTGCATAGAGCTTGTCCGACTCAGGTTGCGTTCTGGTTCATGGGTGGAACTCCGCTGAGGAGGGACTCTGGTTCCATCACCTGGAAACTGCTCACCAGATCCGTTAACCTGCGGGCTATGATGGGGCCCATCCGTCTCTGTTGGAGTCTGTGGCGAGGCAATGTTGGCTTTGACGGCCGCTGCCTGGGCGGGCTGCAGTTTGATGCTGTTGATCTTGGTGAGGGGACGCTCGCGCTCCGCCCCGTCCTTCTGAAAACCGTAGCGCTCAGCATCTCGCTGCTTCCTCTCTTCTTCTGCTGTGTCGGGCGTGACTGTCAAAGTGCACTCGAGGTCAACTTCTCGGTTGCGTTCATTGTTCTGGATTTCGGGCTGTGTGAGCGGTGGCCTGTGGTTAGCCACGTGGTTGATCTCTTGAGGGCCGCACTGCTCCACTTTTAGTCTGTCCAACCTGGAAAAGACAAAGAGAAAGTCTGAGTACGGTGAGAGGAATAATCTCAAATGCAGTGATATCCAAAAGCAATGAGATTGCCTTGGCAGTGATGGGAGGATGATAACTATATTAGACAAAAAATTGGCAGCTTTGATATTCTTTTGTGCCACATCCCCAGATCAAGACACGATATCAAGTATGGGTAAAACATATTGTGCAGACCTAAAGCCCTACATTTGCAAACCCATACAACGCTCTAAAATAAAACAAAAGTACAACGAAAAAGCTTGGTGGTGCACAATGTCTCTTCCAGCTGCCAGGAGGTCAAGCATGTTAAAGGAAATCGGATATCCCCCAATAAAACCCTGCCTCTGTGGGCACGTCTCAGAGGTGGTGCTCTGGCCCCAGTAATCCATTTGCAGCTCTCCTCTCTAGAAGACCCACCTACAACTCTGTGGTCATTAGGGAGGTCTCAAGTGGTAATAGACACCACGACTCCTTGGCATCAGACGGACTCAAGGTCACAACTTCAAAGTTCTCCAAATTCCCCCTCCGCAGCACGGCTCACTGGGTTAGCAATAAGAGGGCAGCAGGAAAGGCATTCCTTCACAGTTTCCACTTGTATCCTTTTTTTAAATAGCCACACTATTCACATAATGACTTCTGCAGCCTTCTGTGGCTCCACCAGCCCAGTAGAGAAACACATTTAACCATTTGAAAGTCTCAAACTCAAACTTTCGATTGTAGAAAGACTTTTAGTCCAAGGAAGATTAGGTTTTAGGTTTATGTAACTGACTGTTTTTCCACACTATCTTTGGCTTTTCCCCCTCTCTTTATTCAAGAGGGTGGTCTTTCAGTTAGAAAGCAGGACTTATTGCTTTCACATTAAGATTTTGCATGCATACCATTTTGTGCTTTCACTCAAAACCCTGCGCTCGCACTCAGATATACCCTGTCACTACCAGGTGTAGTGTTGACAAGTGATATTGTCCTGGCCTAATTGTGGGTGTGTTAGCTTAACTTCTTTGGGTGGTTATTTTAACCAGGTTCATGCAATCCCACCCTCCGCAGCTTTATTGTTACAGTGGCTCCCCGTCCGTGCACTTGAAGAAAAAACGACATGTTCATGGAGCAGGAGTCCAGCAGATTGCTGATCAACATGGAGCAGGGAAATCAAGGATGTCACGTTTGTGGAATACTCTTGCTAGCAACTAAGAAAACTAAATAGATGCTGCCCTATTTCTTCCTCCCGAGTGATTTATGGGACCAGTACCAACTGCAAAAGTAACCACAAGGGTGGGGCAATTTTATTCATCATCGCTACACCTGAAATTCTATTGCTTGGGGGATTTTGACGATAAAATCCAAGTGTGAAAGAAAAAAAAAATTAAAACAGCAAAAGAAAAAATCTAAAAAAGGAGTAAAGAAATCTGCCAGCAAACATTTCACGTGTACACTGAAGCTGCATGAGCACGAGGAGAAAAGCTGAAGCTTGAGCGAAGGTAATCCAAGCACAAGCAGTATATATGAGTGTGAGAGCAGGGTTTTGAGTGAGAGCTTTACATGAAATCAAGTTCTGCTCTCAAACTGAAAGACCACTCTCTTGAAAGAAGACAGGAAAAACCCCATAACTACTCACAAGCTTAAAATGTGGTAACAGTGCAAAGACTAAAAGATGCAGAACAAATATAGGAATCCTTAACTAGATATATATTACAATGCTGTTACCATAAATAGTCTTGAAACAGCATCACATTAAACAATGCTATTTAGTGGATTTCAGGCTCTGCTGCTCTGTGTAATTGCAGAGCACTTTACCATTATGCCTCTGCTCGGCCATGTAAAGGGAGGGCATTAGACCGGCACACTGCCAAATGACAGACACTTAACACTGTTTTAAAAAAGGGAAGGAAATAACCCAATCCTGATGAGGCAGTGATCCTGATCCGCCAGTGCAGCTGTGCATGACAAAACACATGCACCATGTGTTCACATCACACACATGTCTACCATACACACTGCATTCTTATGTATGTTACTCTAATGTAGTAAAAATAGTTACATGATATGAAAGAAAAGCCACAGCTTCTTCAGCAAAGCCACAGACCAGAAATGCCAAAAGTGGATGTTGAATTGATGCCAGAGAACTTAAAAGGCTTAACAGAGGGATTTAAAAGCACTTGTTTTGCAGAACAAATGCTAAAAAAGAAAATCAAGATGAAGAAATAAACCTAGGAAGTCATTATTGCTTGTTTCGAGAACTCAAATGTCCTTTGTCTCAGCGAAACATCCCCTTGTAATCTCCCAATCTGCCTCTCTCTACAAATATACATATACTGTACTAGTGACACTATTACAAACCTTGTGACCGGCTCTGAATGCACAAGTGCAGCATCCGTCATTACTTTCATCCAAGACTCCATTTCCTTGGCTGTGTCTGTGCAAAAATAGTATGTCCTCATGTTGGGATGTGTTGCCTGTTGTGACAAATAGACAGGATCGGGAGAGGAACAGTGACACACAGAAAATGTAACCTGAAAGAGAGAAGACAAAAAAAATCAAATCAACTTTAACTCTGACTGGTAAATGTAGGTTTCTTCCTAAATAAGAAGAATGTAGAGCTGTTGAGACCAATCATGTTTGCGCAAGGTTTGGTCGCCTGCACTCTACATGTGGAGAGCACATGAGGGAAAGCACATTGATGCATCAGCTATAAGCTTTTTAATTCATCCACATTCATATGCAGATAACTGTTCATAAAAATTTGCCAAAATGTTGTGTGGACCTTAAACACCTCCAAAAAGAATCTCTATTTGTGTTTTGTGAGGAGAAACTTTGATATCTGCTGTCTACACAGGAAGTCCCAAATTTGTTGTCAGATGACAGCTGATGGGCTGCGAGGTTAAGAAAACAATGACGTCAATTCAGGTCATATTTCTTCACAAATAATGGTGGAAAAAATCTGGTTAGTGAAATGCTCCTGGCTGTGGTCATCTGCACTATACGCATAAATCAAAGTGCGTCACCTGAGTTTCATGCATACCATTAGATTAGGGCACTAAATCTGCCACAGTACTGTAGGACTTACCATGCAGTCGGTTGTATGGCAGACACATTGTTCCATTGTTGCTCTTCCCTCGCAGCATACAAAGCAATTTATTGTTTAAGACAAACACAGAAAGAGAAAAACAGAATGTTTAGTGCAACAACCTCAATATCCTGTTTACAAAATGTCTGAAAACAATAAAAGTAAGTTCATCGCTTCAGTTATGACAGAATAATGAGAACTTCTAATGACATGGGGCCTTTTGGGGTCAGGAACAAGAGACAGGAAAAGTTAAGAATGAAAAATATGCAGTTAAATCGCTGTGAACTTAGAGAGTTTGTGCCCTGTTCTACCTCGACTCTCCTTTGGCCTGAGTCAAAGCTGGAAAGAGTGGGTTGTGTGGTTTGAGAGACCATGAGCAGACTTCTGGCATCTGGTTTCTGGCTGCACTTGGCAGGACAACTCAGGGTTGTTGTCTCTCAGGGTTACGAGGGACCCACAGTCAAATACTCTACAAGCCACTGAGATCCCAGAAAATACGCCTGTCGCCCTGGACCTTGGGTTTTCTGAGGCAACTTAGAGTATTGTAGTGCACTAGTACTCATATACGACTGAATATGACTTATACTAAGTATCACAGCAGATCTAGAAAAAAACTCTTATGCCGGCCAGCAATACATCTGGTTGCTGCCATCAGGTCAATGCTACAAAGTCCCACTGGCTCAGAAAACATGTACAAAAATAGTTTATTACCTCCGCCAAGTGGGTCATGTTTTCATTTTGGTTTGTTTGTCTGTCTGTCAGCAGGATTACTCAAAAACTGCACAGCTGATTTTTATGAGATTTTGTGGAGGGGTGAGGCATGACCCAAGGAACAACCCATTACATTTTGGACCAGATCTGGATAAACAGGCAGATCCAGAATTTTTTTTGCTACTGCCGAACATGCCGAAATAGTGCTCCAAGTGCCCTTCTGATTAACTCTGCTGTTTGTTTGTTCTACTGTCTGTAAGCAGGACTACACAAAAAATATGATATAGTTTTCCACAAAACACTGTGGATGGAGTTGCAATGAGTTTTCAACATTTTCATTGAATTTGCTGCAGATCAAAATAAAAATCCTGATCTAGTGATTTTAAACGTAGTTTCAAAATGGGACTGTGGGTCCTTAGTGGAGATTTGCACTATACTGAGTACCCACCCTGTTTAAAATATATATGAATGTGTATGTATGTTTTTATATCAACTGCTGAGCCTCATCAAAGGAAAAATTTAAGTTACGTTTTTGACAGATAATAAAGTTAAGCTAAATTGAGCAAACAAAAAATGTAGAAAAACACTGTGAAAATATACAGTGTGACCACCACAATAATCCTCTTTCTAGTATAACAAAGTTTGACAGGACTGAAACCATGTACTGACCTTGAAGGCATATTTTCTGTTGATGTGATCATCCACAGACAGCATAGATATATAAAAGCTTGGCAGGAGGATGCTGCCGAGTATCCCCTCCTCTTTTTCATCTGCAGATTAAAACAAATGAACACATTGAATTAGGATCTGTTTTGTGATTTCATTTTTGTTAATGACATAACACTAAACACTCAGTGTTAAACAGTAAAAAATTTAAAAAAGCATGTCTACAGTGACAAAACACAAAGATTGGAGTGCTGGTCAAATAAGTGAAGGGGATGGAGTCCGATCAGCAGGAATAATAAGCATTGATTCAAAGTCCTCTGTAGCTCGCTTCTCTAATCCTCATTAAGTTAGCAGACAGGGCTCCACATTGACAATGGAGCACTCTCCACAGGGGGGATTAGACTGAGTCCAGAGTTTTAACAGAATTGCTTGACCCATCAATTTGATATAAGCAATCTGCACTGCTTACACAAAACAGAGCAGGAAAACAGAATATAACAGGCAGGAAAACCCCTTTTCCACTGGTCAAAAACCCACTAACACTCACTAACGTGGCTTTTGTCTACAATGTGAATGGATACACCAGCATCAACTCCTGGGTCAAAATGACTCTGCAGTAGACACAGGTTTTAATTGGATCAGGCTACAATCGGCAGTGATGGAAACGTGACACCAGGGAGAAAGTGCTAATTAGGCAAGAAAGTGAGGTGAGAGAGCGCCTCAGTTGTCGGTGCGTTCATAAAGTTGAACAAGACGCACAGGGAAAAAAAACAGCAAGGCAAACTCCTTTACAGGTGATGCGAAACAAGTGAATCGCCAGATTAAGCAGGTTTACCCACGTTTGGAAAAACCTGTAAATACCTGCTAATTCTGATGTAAAAGAGCTTTTAAAGTCGTACAGCCAGGCTTGGTAAGCCTGGAAAAGCTAGCAAGGCAACAATTTGCAACCATATATCTCATCCCCTCCCATCGACCTTCTCGTCAACTGCTGCAAGGTGACATTTCCGTGACTCGCTCACTAACCTGAGACTATTATCTCTGCTTCAGAGGTGTATGCCTCTCCTGTTTGTAAAGCCTCCGGTCATATGCAGTGAGACGGACAGGGTGTGAGCAGTCAGGTCGGTGAGTGACACCAGCGAATCATCTCGTTTGCACCAATTGAAATTGGTCATGTTTATTACAGTTTTCAGTTTATTACAGTCTTTTTTTCTCCCAGACAACTTTAAATATTGATGCTTTCGGGACGTGATGAGGATATCAACAAATAAGATAAAAAGTGTTTCAAAAACAAGGCTCCAATCATTCTCAACAGGCTCAATATGAGCAGTGAGTAATATTTCTGAATGATAGCTGAACTCTGGTCGGCCTCTGGTAGTGTATGCGTAGATCTGGTTGCCCCTGAAGTCATGTTCGAGCCATGCATCAACTAATGAAGTTATAAGGGAAGATAAATTGAGGTGAACCTGAGCCCACTGGCTGCACATTTATTTATTCATCAATACTCTGTGTCTCTGCTTCTCTCTATAAAAAAACACACAGCAGCTTCAGCAGAAAAGTCTCTGCACACAAGTTAAAATTGTGGAAGATCCTGAGTGCACCAAAATGCTCTGATAACGACAACAGATAGCTGCTGTGTTTAGTTAAAGGGCAGCTCAGTTCATGACCTCTCTGCCCACTCCCTGCTGATGGATACAATTTCCTAACGTCAGCCCTTCTGCTGTCGTCTGTGGCTTTTGTCAGTCAGTGGGCGGAAACAAGGCGACTGGACTGGCAGAGGCTGGAAACAACAAAGACTGGATGTCATCCTGATCAGCAGAAATGATGACTGTATCCACATCAAGTGCACAGGGGGGCACGCAAGACTTTCTCTGTAGCTACAGCAACCGCACACCTAGCCTACAGTTACCTAACAGCCTCAGTGATTCGCAGTATTCAATTCTTTTGTTGTGCTCTCAGACACAAGGCTCTCTGACACAGCTGTGTCAATATTTCATATGAAATGCTGAAATGACCTGTCATTGACAGCTTATAAAAAAAGATCCCATCTAACGCGTGCAAATATATTCCTGCTGAGCAACAGTGGCAGAGGAAGGTTTATAAGGACAGACGAATTTTAATAATTGAATGGAAAAACTACTTTAAACTGGACTGGAAATCCCACATGAGAAAAAACCTGATGCGGACAGTGGCAGTGGTCATATAAATAAAACATGTTTCCACTTCAATCAAAGTAGAACATTTAATTACTTGGTCAGGAAAATATCAGTTCCATCCATTCATTAGCTATTCTGCTTCTCCTCTGAGGGCCGTGGGAGAACTGGAGCCAATCCCAGCTGACACGAAGCGAGAATCGGGGTACACCCTGTTCATCCCAGGGCTGACATAAACAAAAATTATTTGAGCTCACATTTATGACTACCGGCAATTTAGAGTCTCCAGCTGACCTATAAGCTGCAGGTCTTTGGACTGTGGGAGGAAGTAGTACATTCATTAACAACATTTGATGAGATCCTTCTGACTCGGAAATTTCACATGAATGTCAGTGTTGGAAAGTCTTTTCCAACCACTTTTAATAAGAGCTTTTGATGTGAACCTGTCAAAAGTCACTAGCAAACTGTATATCGATCCTAACAAGCACCTAACACCAAACCTTTTAGCCAATACAAACGATTTAATAATTAATGTGCATAGGTTATTGATGCCTGTCACACCTAATCCTTTTTCTCTGATCTTATTATGTAATTGTTATTATGTAATGTTTCAGCTGCTGGTGTGTATTTTCAGTGGTGGATGTATGTTTTCTTGTTCTCATGGTGAAAGACGACCAGACGTGTGAGTGAGTGAATGTATTCAAATAGGTCTGTGCCAGGACGAGGTCATGATAGGTTGACTGTGTTTTTGTATTTGGATCTGATTGCCTCCTCCTCCGTAGCAGACCCAGGATGTTGCGGTTGAGCTGCAAGGGGACACTCCTCTCCCTCCTTTCCCAACCGGCCACAGCATGACTTTGTTCTTTGTAACCTCTACCATGCTCCTGGCTTTGACTCCCATTTACTTTTGAACATGTTTCCTCCTGTTTTTGTTGGTTAGGAAGTTTAGTTATTGTAATAATTTTATTGAGATTTGGATGATTATGTTGATTTCTAGATATATTTATTTGTCTGTTATTTTGGCCTTTGTCCACAGTGAAGTGAAATGACTGCTCTTGATTTATATTATGCATTTTAAAGATGGGGGTTCATGTTGTGTCTCTTACAGAGCCTGAAAACAATGTTGTGTCTTTGTTGTTAAAGAGTCTAAACACATAACTACAGAATGTTACAGAATCCATGTTTCTTCACATTCCGCCTTCAATGCACATAACCCACCAAGATCGGAACAACTGCACAACTCTGGAAATGAGCCGTCTCAGGAAGCACTCAACTCCACAGAAAAACCCCACGCACATATTTGGACAACATGAAAACTCCACCTAGATTTTTTTTGCTGTAAGACAACAGTGCAAACCACTGCACCCCTGTGAACACACCAACATTGGTTGTCTTTACTAAATTTAAATATTGGTTGTCTTTACTAAATTACATGTATAAGATGTTCAAAAAGAGTAACTAATGATATGGTAAGATGATCTCTTTAATGTAGAATTAGAGGATGTAAATAAATGGTTAAATATTAGCAGGATCAGTTCTGTTTGATGTACAGTATCTGAATCCAAGGATTACATAAGTATGCAAACCGTGTAAGAGAGAGCATCATCTCTGGAAACTGGACATGTGAAATCCAATATTCTGCTATGCTTATGGCAGCATCTAAGCCTTGTGTAAAACCCTGGCTTTGCTTTGGGGAAAAAGTATCTGTTAAAAATCAAGTCTGACGACCGGAGAACCCTTTCAATTAATATGTCTGTTCAGTTGGTCCTGACAGGCGGCTCACCACAGAGACTTGCAATCGACCACGGCTTGTGGTGCTCTGAAAGTCACAAGCTCAGTGACCCACTGTTGTTAGCAGGTCCATGCAAGTGAAACGTGCTGTTAGCCACGTGGAGAGAACTCACCTCTGTAGTAGAAGAGGCACAGGTCCGACAGCACAAACCACCTTTTCTTCCACAGCTTCATTCCTGTACTATCCTGCAAAGAGAGCAGAGGAACAGAACACAGTTACTCCACCTGCTAGAAGAGGTAGTTATATTATAAATTATTAAGAAATAGAGTTGGGTATGGTTGCTTCATTGAATTCAAAAGTCTGCAATATGCTAAATAAAAGTTGATATGAATCCAAGAATGCTGGCAGGAAAGAGATTAGACAGACTCATTGGGAGGGCTAGCTCGGTCCAGGGATACCCCTCTGCCCCAGTGGAGGTGGTGGACAATATATATATATATATATATATATATATATATATATATGGCAATATAAAATTTTGTAGGTAAATAAATTACATTAATGGAATTAATGTGGAATTCATTCACTTTGTAAATTTTATCAAAAGTGCACTAATTTATGTAATGGAGTAAGGAAAATATATTTGGCACAGGGTGAAACATTTTTGTTTTCTGGTATGATGCAAAACAACAATATGTGCTCCTCTGTAATCTTAACCCAACAACCAGCTTTCACTTTCAAAGCATGTTGCTTAGCAGCCAAAAAAAAATCCTGTGCTTAAGTTGTTCTTCAGTATTGCTATGCTGTGATCAGGATTTCAGGTTTTCAGGCTGCTGCCTGAAAAGGATGAAGGGGGTATTAACCCTACATTTGCTTTATTGGAAAACTTGAGTCCTTAATCGTGGATTCCCTGGGACAAAAGCAGGGGGAGGGACCTCAACAACTCTGTCATTATGGTCAAATGGCATGCGGACTGCAGTTTACTTTAAATGGAAATTCAGTTCTGCGAACCAGCATGTTTAACACATTACAATTCACAATACCAGATGCTGTTCAGTATGGAGGCTTATCTGAAACTTATAAATAAGATTCAAATTTCCTAGCATTCATTATTTTGCCACCCTCCCTCTGTACAATCAAGGTCCTAACCACTCAGTTTACAATGTGTTGATGAATAAACTTAAAAAAATCAAAAGTTCTGTTAGGGATTCTTCTGTTCAGGCGGGAGAAGAAAAACGAGGCTTTCGCCAATCACATCAATCACTGCGGCATTTTGTTCTCCCAAAGGATCAACTGAATGGCTGTTGCGTTTCCTCAACAAGGAGTTCAATAGCTTCCAGGTTTCAATAAGGCTGGAAAATAAAAGTGCAAATCCAGCTTTCATTCAGGGTAGCAGATTTGTGAGTCTTTAGCTTGATCTACGTCACCCCCGATTGAGGTCCCCAAAGAAACAGCAGCTGGCAGCTGTACCAAAGAAGGCCATCATGTGTTCACAAAACTGTGCCGGGAGGCTGCAATCAAAACTAAATGAGTCCCCCACTTATAGGAAGCACGAGAGAGCCCTGTCTGGCTGAGAGCCGCCTCAAGCACCCCCTCTTCACTCTGCTGTAAGTAACCAGGGAGCTGCGATGAGGGATTGGTATTTAAACAGTGGCCGTGCTGGTTGACTGGCTGAGCAGAAACACTGGACAAAAGAAAGGTTCAGATCCTGTGAGACTTCAAAAAGAAGCTTCCTTTGTGCTCAGAGTAAGAGCTGCATAAGTTACAGGGGGGAAGGTGAACATAAGCCTTGTTTCATGTGTAAGAAGGAAAATTGTGTTAAAAAATAAAGTCTGCATTAATAAGATGACCTCATGTTCCCTAAGCTTAATACAGAAACTATCCAAAATATCCTCATTTGTAATTATCAGTTGCATTAGTACAAATATATTTATTGAAAAAAATGAGCAAACAAATAAAATAAACTCATGTGAACATCTAAACATCAATATCAACAAAGTAGAAAAAAAACACAACATGGATAATCAATTATCTAATTTTGCTGTATCACTGTTCACATGTCCAATGTTTACCTTTTTGTGTTTTAGCAGGTTGACATGTGCTAAACTGATAATCACAAAATACAGTAATCAACAGCAGAATTCATCTTTAGAGAGAAATTAATGTCTGGACCAGTTTTCATGGCAATCCACAATGAAATGTAACTAATTTACATATTCAGCTTCTCAACACTTTGGACGTTGGGCGATTTATTGACACAAATATAAAGTTTAACTTGAAGTCATGTGGTCTTGCTTACCTGTTTATAAAGCCAGTTTTTCTTCATTACTGGGGCACTGGGATTCCTCCTGATAGAGTTGGATCTCTTCCCGAAATTATGAATCTTTTTGGAAGGCCTTGAGGGCTAGAAAAAAAAAAGCATGAATGATTAAACAGCAAAGTGAGTTCAATCTTAAACTTTCAAAAACATCCCCAACTTAACAGACATGTTTGAGAATCCAATGGTAATAATGTGTGTTACGTACTCTTCCTGCTGGGCTACTGGGGTTAGCGGCATAGTCCGAGCCACCTGTGTAGTTGGAGGCCTCACTCATGATGTTTAGTGCTCGTTCCTTCTTTTCATTCGCTGGCACTTTGGAGGCAGATCTGAAATAAGAAGAACAAAGTATGCAGTTAGGACAAAGGACAGTAATAAGTCAGAGATATGGACAACCTATTTAAGTTCATAGGAAGACACAGCCTTTATTCTCAGTTCCTCTAGCATTTCTCTAAACTTCAACCTATTATAATAAGGTCTAAACCCAGGTCTATGGATCAAGCCAATTACTCTCACCATAGATACATTTCCATTCCTCTAACGGCTTTAAATGCACTGCAGTGTCTGTCCATATTGGAATACTGCAATTACAGCAGGGAATCAGGCCAGGATGTCTATAAAGCTTTCTTTAAAGCAAATGTGGAAAAGTGTAGCTAGTTCAAAACATGAGATAGGATAGAACTTCTAGTTGTCTCTGGCCCATGGATATGTCCTACATTCTTTAGGAAAAGAACAACATTGTGGTCTAGAGGGAACAAGACAGCGAAACCAGAGTAGAGCAGAAATACTGCAGCAGTGAAAAAACGTGTGATCTCTCAGATACAATGGTTTCAGGTCACTGAATAGGGACAGAATCTGAAAACTCTTGCTGAAAACTCTTCCCTCCTAAATCAATCAATACCCCAACATTGAAAAGCTTCAGATGCAATGGTACCATTCTGTATAATGATATATTAATTTAGTATGAATTAAAAAATAAATGCATCTATATCACCTAGTTCAGTCTTTCAGTCTATCATCTGTCAGACACAAGGACAAGACTGTTAACATCAATAAAAAAAACTCCATGCTTTTATAGTGAAGGTGTACAAACACAAGAAGGGATCACAAGGGATCAGGCAACGCACACAAAATGTTCTTTACATGCAGCACTGGAGCAGAACTGAATCTGTGGACCATTCAGAAACATGACCAGACAAAACACTGACAACCGCAATCTGCATTTGTTTTACCTGTATTAAGAGGCAACGCTACATAGTTTGTTAAAAGGTCAAGCTGCAGCGTGGCTTCACGTGGAGTTCAACTTTAGTGAACTTTGACTTGTGATATTTGCTTTGCATTCGCATATGTATGGCCGTGCTGTCAATAGTCCGCATGTAGAGGAAAACAGGTAGAAAACTTCGCCAAAAAGCATCGGCTAATGGCTTTTTAATTTATCTGCAGTAATCACCAGATTGCTATTCATAGAGATAGCCAAAAATTCCGTCTGGATCTCAAACGCAACATCTTATTATCATGTACCTAAACACATAACTTATGTAACTTGTTGACTTATTGAGAATTTCATACAAGAAGAGTAGTTCTTTTGTCATCAAAATTAATTGGTTGTCCTAAATGACTAAATGTATAATTGGGGTTCTGTGTAGAGGTGACACATTCCCATGGACACCATCAGGGAAGTGGGTGACTAATGCTCTCTTGAGTTGAAGTGTGCACAATTTTCAACTCGTTACTCTAAAATAGCTAATTGTGCAGAGTGATAAGCAGCCGCCTAGATTGGACTTCTTCTCTATCTAATGAGCTGGCTCCAGAAAATGAGCTCCAGAGACTTTCAGCACTTCCAGTGACGGGAGAAATCCTAAGTGAACCATAATCAACGGTATGCGGACTTGTCATCAAAACAAAGGTTGGGAGGGGTGGAGAAAATGGACTCACTTTGGTTTAACTCATATACTGCTCTATTCGATGCTCTATTTAGCCAATAAACCATTTCCAGCCTCTAAGCTCCAGTGTGATTGTGTGTGTGTTGGCTCCTTGTTGATAATTAGTTTGGGCCTGATAATCAATCTGCACGCTGTGAAATTGAAAAGTAGCCAGTGTGTCAGATTAGCTGCCTTAGCCAATGACAACCAGAAGACGAGAACAGAAAAAATGATGCAGTAAAAATATACTTACACTACATCTATTGTGTTTGGAGTGATTAAAATAAGCTAAATAAATGATGAACAACAATGGTTTATTGTGATATATTACATTTTTTTATTTCTGCTTGAAAATCAAATAATAATGTTAGAGTATACCAAAGCATCCCAATGAGATCTTGTACTAATGTTTCTGCCCACTTTTTATTAATACTTGGATGATGTGGGCTTGCTTCAATTTGTGGAAAACTCTATTTAAAAAGTACATCCAGTGCTAATACCAAATCATTTTAAAACATTGTCATACTGAGAATTCACGCCCTCACCAGACTAATGCGGATATTTTGCTAAACAAACATTCCCTCTGCTTTTGGGCCTCTTATCCACACAAACATCATTTTAAGCATAAAAACAAGCTGATTTCATTTTGTGTGCATTTGTGTGTATGAGTGAAACAGAACCTTTGAGAAACAATGATGTCACAGCTGTCATGGTGTATGCTCACTGCTGCTTTGTGTAATGAGCATGTGCCAGAAACAATGGCTGCTATATATCAATGGATTGTTGATATGGACTTTATTGCTCCTCCACTGGCCCGGCATGCTTGCTTGAGCATCTTCTTGTCTAGACTGAGATATTTTGTAAAACGAAAGTCGTGAGGATGGAGATTCTTTTTTTTTTAAGCGAGGGGGAAAATATCCATTCAAATAAAATCTTAATTCGTGTAGACAAGGCTTCCAAGGTTTGTATCTATCTGGGCCTCTCCAGTATTTATTTCTCAACCCTTCATGTCAAAAACAATGCACACATGCAATGGAGACCACCAACTGCTTCACATTTATGCTTTGACATGAGACTTTGCTCTGACTGGCTTCCACTAACATGTTAACATGGAACACAACATGGATGTCATATGTTCATATCCACAGCTGTTTTCAGTGCTCGTCTGCTTTGAATTACAGTTGTCTTGTTTGAGATGGTGCTTGTCACCCAACAGCAGTGCATATTGTATTGTACAGAGTAATTGACCACAGATCTATGTAAACAGCAAGGTCAATGAAAATATCCACTGGAAACCTAAAATATGTGTTATATATCTGTTATATCATCTGGGGTACAGCTACATTAAATTATTTGTGGATCACATGTTAAATAAAACAATAAATGAAAATGTGGGAGAAATATATGTCAACAACCAAAGTTAATATAATTTTGTCTTGTGGGTATTACCACACACACACCTTTCAGCAATTCAATATAGGAAGACCATCACATGTGTATTAGTGTCACATCACAGTCATGGATTTTGTGCGCCTGTGTGGGTGCACTGGGTCTGTATGTTGCCATTCTAAGCAAACACTGAGCTGAGTGGCTGAGGGTGCATTTTTTAAATGACCACACAGCATTTCTAAAGAAAATAAGTGCTTTAAAAGACTTTTGTTTGGTGGTGAACCTGACCATTATCTTTGAAATGAACAAAAAAGATGAGAAGAATAAGGCAAGCACAGTATTGGTGTATACATAGTACACTGTCACAAGTTCACAGCTCAGTGATAAATCAAATATGTACAGTTACTGATCTTTATTTATGTCTTTGTTCTGTAACAGTACAGTGTTTCTCAAAGCATGGCAAGCTAATGCTGAAACCTTTCTTCATTTCAAAACTGAACATGATTTTTGAAGGAGGTCATATTATGAAAACATAGAAAAGTGTTTATATTATAAAATTTATTTCTATTTAGGTGAGTAAGCAAAATGCTGACGATACAGATTTTTTTTGGTCATATCACCCAGCTCTAAAATAGCGAGAACTGTACACAGTAAAAGTAGCCTGTACATCCACAAGGGACACAGATTGTGGCGGAGGCAGAGAGGGTCGGCTAATGACCAGAAGGTCGGTGGGTTAATCCCTGCAGGCTCCTCCTTTCTGAAGATCTCTTGATACCAAAATTGCCCCTGAGGCTGTACCGACAGCGAATAAATGTATGTGTGAATGGATGAATGGGAATACTTGCGCTTTGAGTGGTCGATAAGACTTGAAGCATTACATAAATAAAGTCCATTTACCATTTTGTATGAAGGGGTGTTCACAGATTCATAGTTGTCAAGACAAATATGACACTTAACAGAGTTGTGTTTCAGAAAGTGTGCAATGATCACATTTTCTGATGCCTTTGGCCTATTATAAAGAAACCTTTTTTTACGTGCCGACAACCAACTAGTCTGGGAAATGAGTAAACTGCCAACAAAGTGAGCGAATGGTACTGACATAAAAATATTTGTCAGACAGCTCAGCTCTATGTAATGATGTACAGCTTAATGAAGATCTGCCTGCGGTGAGTTGTTCATGAGACCTCAAGTGATCACAACAGACAGGTTCAGACAGTAATGTGCACCTTAACAGACTTTGGAATGCATATGCAACAGGTCATCAGGCAAAACACCATTCAAACCACCCACAGTCTGTTGTTAGTGTGCCACAAGAAGGATTATTAACAGACATGTTCAAATAATTTAAATTAAAATAATAAAAGAATGTGGAGAACACACATTATCCTTTTGCACCTTGTGGTGTATTACCTGCTGAATGCGGGGAGACACAATTTTCCACAATTCACACTAAAGAAACAGAGGAGAGACACATCTGTTGAGAATAAAGGTTTGAATCTTTCAACAAATGAGGGATTTGATTACAAGTTCAGAATAAGTATTATTGTGTATCGTTATGTGCTGAAGTCGAGACAGTCTGAAAAAGGTCACATGCATTTACATGCACATGGCTATCTCAACTGTAAACATGTTCATTACCAGTTCATTTTAGCAACTCAATTTAGTTTTCTTGTCAAATATTACTATAGAATGATGGTTTGGAGTGGTATGCTTATAACCTTCACCATTGCAGGGAGTCCAAAAATGAAAAAGACACATTTAAGGAGTTCACAAAGAAGGCCTGACTGATCCATTCAAGCAAAAAAAGGTGAAATTGGTTAATAAATATTACTTTGACTCTGAACTCCTCTGTATGCCAGCCTGAACAATTTTAACATTAGTCGTGTCTCAATGCAGGGACTGCATCCTTCGGAAGCTGTATTTGGAGACCGATTTTGTCACAACAGAAATCTGAAGGCTCCTTCAAGTGCAACAAATGCTTCCTTCCTTCCCAGCAAAACGAAGGCTCCAATGGGCCAACCACATTAAAACTTTCTTCATGTCCAGCTTCAGCTTTGTTGTTAGGCAACAGCAATAAGGGTGGTACGAGCTGTTGACGGTGTTTACAGAAATCTTCTAAAGACCAGACAGTCTAATTTTGGTTTGCCCTTCGCAGTTGACACAATCCACAAACGCCACTTCCTTCGTTGAATTGGTAAACTGCATCCTCAGAAGGATGTGGCCCATGAATTGAGACACAACTATTGTGTTTGTAATTTGGATTATACTTGTAGTAACCAGCCCTGATTGGCTTATGAATCATCCTGCAGTGATGTTTTGGTTAAATGTGTTTTACATGCCAGTTCTACACAAACATTCCCGTGCAAATAATCATGTGCATCACTAAAAATATGTTCAGACATGTACAGTAGTGCCGCAAGAGTGCTGAAGCTGACATTCTCTGAGGTGAGGTAGGTGAAGTCACGTGTCAAGAATGTGCCTGACCCATGACTCAAGCAGGAACGTGCACCTCCCGGCATAACATAACAGGTAAGTATGAGTGACAGCTGTCTTAGTAATGTTGACTTTGTTTTACCTATAAACAATGTTCAAGCGGATTAGGAGAGGCTAATGTACGAGTCATAGCTTAAACTGGTCACTCAAAAGCAACACAGTGGAGTTCGCTACTGGGAGTTGCTGATATGTATTTGTCAAACTTGCCAGTACAAACTCCATAAAACTTGAGTGACACTGAACCTTGAAATAGAGGCTACAATAACTGTTATAAGGGCAACAACCTTTTCTGGTTGTATTCCAGGTCAATGGAGTAATGCTTTATTTGCATAACATTGAAAGCCTGAGTTCTTCCTACGGAGCAGATAATTGAGTGTCTGACCTGATCAGTGCCAACTATCCCCAACACTGTGCAGAGACAACTGACTTCATGGATGTGTAAATTATCTATCTATAATGGGATAAAAGTACAGTCTGAGAGTAGAATGTTTCTGCTTCCTCTAATCTGTTAACCCAAAACAAATCCAGGGCAACTCCATCTTAATTTTGTAGTTTCTGTGGTTTTAAATATTTTATAGTTATTATACATCTTGAGGTGGGTTAAGAGGATCTTCTTCAAATGTTTTACTCAATTATATACTAGGTACTTGAAATTATAACACCAAAATGAAGCTGAAGTTTTGTATTTCGGATTTACTTAAAGTGCAGAGAAGATTAGGCAGTGATTTCAAGCCTGGCTTCTTAATCCCTGTGGCAGCTTAAATCTGTCTTTGCCTTTTATTACTCATCCAACGTAAAGATTTTCCTCCTCATTACTTTTGCTAAAACGCAGCTAACAGTTGGATGGCATGTGCTGTAATGAACTAAAAAACAACAATGAATCAGGTTTTGTGTTCATCTCCTTGCTGTTTGCCTTTATAAAGTTGATCTCCAGCTCATCTGATATAGATTCATTTAGCATCTTATCTTAAAACGATAAAACACCAATTTCTAAATGAGATACCATCTTCACTGGTATGTTGTTCCTCTCAGGGTGAAAAACAGCAGAGATGTGAGAGTAACACAGCATGCAGAGGAATGTGTCAAGAGAGTGCAGGGTGACAGTTCTGGCACAACAAGCTCTTATTCACTCTCTGCTAAACCAAATGCAGGTCATGAGAATATTGGGATATTTAGAAGATCTTTATATTTCAGTAAAACCAGGATTTCTGATTTTTTGAGCCCCATATTGAAAAAAGCTGGAACTGGTGTGATGGGTCATTAGGGAATTCATCCCCCATTATTTATTGGACTCTGGCAACAGTTTCCCACATGGGAATGACATTTCACATCTTGCAGCAGAAGATTTTTCAATTAGCATTTGTTGCTCAATAGAATAATTGACACCAGTTGTGATGACATGACTTCAGTGCATTAGTATGGCATTGTGGGAAATCTGCTATGACACAGGATTCTAAGTGAAGTGAGAAAGGGAGTGTTGCACAATATTGGGCTAAGGCTACAGGGAGGAAGATAAGAGTTAAGGTTAATGTCAGTGTGTGGGCTATGATGCAAACAGTCTAGTGCATGTATATTTAGTATGTTTACAGATTGGGACATAGAAGTTCATTTTAAATGGAATCTGCAAAAATGGCCAAAAATGACAAAACAGTATATACCCTATTTTTTCTGTTGGACATTGTCCAAGACTCTAGACAAAGCACCATTAACTGGAGTAGGAGTACTTTCTGAGGCAAACACACACTGGCCACATTTAGATTCACAAAGTACAGTAGTTCCCCTTGAAGTGAAAGTTCAAGATGACCTCTGAACAATCTTGTCATGTGGGCAGACGTCTGATGAGTGTTACGCTGAGAGCAAAGCAGACGATCACATGGACATGACATTGTTGGACTTTATCTTGTACTTATGACAAATGAAAAGGCTGTGACCTATTGACCAGGTCACAACGAGGGAACTGTGAATCATGGCATTCCCACAAGCTGATGTATACATGATACGATGGGTACTGTTGGCCTTTAGCATTAATGTTATTAACCCTGCTTTGTCACTGACAGAAAACAGCATTGAGTAAGTTAGTCCTTGGTTTTAAGGCTTTTGCCAAGAAGATAGGTGGCTGAAGAAGTACTAATTAGATAAGTGGTTTAAATGATATGGCAGAAATGCATATAGAAGGTGGTTAGGTAAAGATGAATGAAACTGACATCTATAACCTCTTACCAAAATTATAAAATGATCGGCCATTAAGGTTTGAAATAATTGTGATGTTGATTAAAAGTCATATCGCCCAGCCCTATGTTGTGCAATGTTTGTTCCCTACACATTAGGAGTTTCAGTATCAACATACAATAGTGTTCAAAAATGCTACCCAGTGGCATTCTGAAAGCATAAACAAGAGACTTACTGTTCGTTGATGACAAAAATGCAGTTGTCTTGCGAGGGTAAACCTGAGACAGGATGTTTACAGGTCACCTTCCGCTCATTGTGACTGTTGAGAAAAGGATAGGGAGGAAAGAGGATAAATTAATGATCAATGTGAATTTGATGTGTTGCCCTGAAAACCCTTATTATCAAAGGGTTGAGACCAGCTCAGGTCACTTTGTATTGGCCAGGTAGAGAGATACACAATTTGCAATTATTTGTAAGCTGCATAAAATGAGGTGGTGCTCTAGGTGTGAACATAAGTATGGATGCTTGTCTCTGTAAGTTGGCCCTGCGAAACGCTGACGAGCTGACCAATGTGTGGACTTCTAAAAGGAGAAAAACATCAATAAAAAATTGGTCTATACTGCAAGACTGAAAGTTACACCTAGCTGCCATGTGACTGTTTTGGTCAAACCTATGGTAAACATTAGCGCTATTTTAATGAGCTTGAGATAGACAAAAACCCTTAGATTGCTGACCTACAAAACACTTTTGAGTCATCAGTGTAAAATAGAGGTATGAACCAAATAGTGGATTACCAAATAGTGAACACCAAAACAAGCATTCAACAAGCAATATCAAAGTCCATGCAAAAACAAATAGATAGAGCTGATTAAAAAAACCTTGATTACACAATAAAAAACAAAGTATGGCATTAGGGTCCAAAAAAGATAAGTAAAACATGATAAATGATACCAGGGCTGTACTGGGTGCGTGTGCAATGTGGGATGGCTGCATCACAAGTCTGCTGCGTGCCTGCAGCAGAGCTATGTGAGATTTCTGGAATGACTACTGCATTTGCTCAAATAAAAGTAGGCCTGTGTACTAAACTAAGTTCCAGGACTCTATGGTATGAAAACAGACATCCTGCAAATATTTCAAAATAAAAACCTTGTCACAACAAATGAATGGATTCAGTCAACAAAAATTCTTGAGTGCTTTTACTTTGAAACAATTGTTGCAAAAGTTTTGCAGCAAAACACCTCACAACTTTAGCTTTTACCACAATATACAAAAGGGGAAAACAGCATTAGATCAATTTAGACTTCAAGTACATTGGCATGTGCCAAACTGCTTCACCAATTATGACCAAAACCTAAATAAGGATGTCATGCGATTCTTAACTCACCAGCTAACAACAGAGGAATAGAAGATGCCCCCCAACCATCCTATCACCAAATTACGACAAACCTTACATGATTTCCATGTGAGGACACAAACCATGTAGACTTTGGAGAGGAGGACTAGAGTCTTTACAGCAAGAGCAGTTTCAAATGCAGTGGGGCAGTGACAGAGGGCTCAGTAAAGAAGGATACACTTCACTGCTCTTCAATGTTTACTAGTAAACTCTAAATCAACTTTTTCCTATTACAGCATCCTTGGAATAATTACTAGACTGATTAATTAATGTAACATAAAGATCCAGGTCATCAACTTCTTATGTTATAACCATTGATTCAGAGATAGAAAATCACTGGCTATTTTATGACTAAACATGAGTTACAGCAATGGGAAGCTCAGTAGCAGAGTATGTTAATGGAAATATAATCAAATATATTGACAGCTTCAGAGAAGACACAAAGGAAAGAGCTGTAGTGTCAACAAAAGTCTCCAAAACTACTACTGCCTTTACGTGAACAGTTATTCTATATTCCAGTTCACTCAGGCTGTACTATAAACAGAGGAGAGTCAAGCTACAGCCCAAAAATAACAGTTTTTAAACACTGGGTACTCATGTACGGAAAAGAGTGAATACCAAGTATGAAATAGGGGGTTTAGTTTCAGTTTAGCCTGGAGAGCAAGCGTCTCCACAGCTCTGGTCTATAATTACTGGAGGCACTGTTGGCAGCAGAGCACTCTGTGCGGTATTGGGGCAGACCAACGGCACCGTTTTTCTTCGGTATCCCATCACACATGCCTGCACTACTCGGCACATAGGTTGGCTGCGGATAATAGGAGATGAGAGAGTCTGCATAGGTATTTATGAACACCACAGTTCGGTTACATGTAAGATGTTTACAAAATAAAGAACAAAATCAAAAAACTAATGAAAAAATTAAAATGTTTGAGAATCATTCATCTTTGATACTTTTGCTTTCCTTGCAAATAATGACATAAAGCTAGGGTTGGTAATCCTAGAAAAGCTAGCAAGTGCAGGCTATGCTGAAAACATATGCCACCTATATACCAAATATCCCACCCCCTCTCATCAGCCCTCTTGTCATAGATATGCCCCCAAAACACATGATCGTGCAGTGCCTGATAACTGATAGAAGGCAACATTTCTGTGACCCACTCGCTAAATTCTGACTGTCGTATCTGCTTCAGGGGTGTATCTCTCCGGCTTGTAAACACTCTGGTCATGTGCAGTCATAGTACCGGCAGGCAGGTTGGAGAGTGATAGACAGGTATGCGAGCCAATCATTTTATTTGAATTAAATTATTGGACCACAGACACAAGCTTTGTTTCTTTTCCTTTTTTTTAGAGAACTTAACTTCTTTATTGATGGCCGATCCCATTAGAATGTGAAGAGGCTTTCAACAAGTTAGATAAAGTGTTTTGGAAACAATTTACAAACTGTGCCTTTAACCAAAGCTAAAAGAAAGAGAGGTTCTAATAAAAGGGTATATTTTATCCACCAACTAACTGCCAATGCCATTCATTAGAGGGAATAAAGTGTTTGTTACCTTTTAGGGTATTTTTAAAAAGTAATGATTTAGTCAAAAAACATTTTGCATAGTGTTTATGGTTCTAAATATATTTTGTTTTCAATCAAGCAAAACGTCTTGCGTGAACAATGAACCAAACAACTTTTTTCTTGCTAGTATTTCCAGTCTGCAGCTCAGTGCAGTTTTCAAATGCTTACAGCTCAGTTTTTGGTTCAGCGGTCCATGTGGTGAAGTCTCATTGCCTCTAAATGATAGTACAGTAAATGAGTATGAGCACACAAGTTCAGAGAAGACAAATGTACACTACTTGTCCAATGAAAAATGTCAGAGTGAAAACAGCCAAAGTAAACAGCAAAAAGAGACCAAGACATATTTCTTAGAATCAAGCAGACCAGAATATGATATTCAACAGAGCTATGACTATTCTTCTCGACTATAGGTCTACGCCAAAAGAAGGCTCCATTTGATCACGTTGTACGTCGTTATGTGAGTTTATGTTCATGTAAGTAATGTTGGACAGGTGTTTACTGAAATATCAGCCATAGGAACTCGATACTGGAGCTTGGCCCTGGCCCAAAAACCCACCACCGCTGATTAAAACACAGGAGTCATTATCAGCACCTGTTCATCAGGACTATTTGAGGGGACACTGAATCAAACAAGAGAGATGCCTAACATACAGGGTTATGTAACCTTTTCTTTGGTGGGGTCACAATAAATTGTCACGATTACGTTGTGGTTCGCGTGTGTATTTGGCGCTTTTGATTGCTCTGCATCAAACTGACCTTTGACCTCACTGTGGACAATTTAAACATTGGACATTTTTTACTTTTAAAACTCAATGAGCTGGAACATCTAATAAACTACCTCCACTGGTATGTTTATATCCATGTTTGCTTGTCTTTATAATTTAGCAAGGTTACGCAAAGACCTTAGGACAGATTTCCTCATTACTCAGTGAAAGGATGGGTATGAAAATAACCCATATGATTTTGCTGCTTGAAGTTACAGATTCAAGCCTCCTGGCCTGAAGAAACCTTTTGCACATGTGCTGACTGACACGTGTACGAGGTCAGTGTTTTTACAAGGAGGCTGGCAACATCAAAAGCGCCCCTGCACCTATATGGCCGGAAGCTATTTGAGAAGGTCCTACACATTCCCAACATGATACATGTGATACAGGGAGGACAGCGAGTTCTTAAACCTCAGCGGAAAACATGGGGAGATGAAGTAACACGATGGCTGTGGTTAATATGTGTGGGCCCAAACAGGCCAGATGAGTTACAAAAAAGTGAAATAATCCTTTTGAACAACTTACAAAAGTAGCCCACAACAATCACTGGCTGTCTACTCCTTGAGCCATTTTGTTATTCTATTCAAATATAATATTGCGAAACAGTTGCTGACAAAGTAAGTGTGTTGATTGCCTTGTCTTACGTAGCACAAGTTTCCTATGAACTTACTAGAAAACAATGCAATGAAAGCTGACGGCAGCAGGCATTATGGCATCAAAATCACTAGATCCTGCATCGCTATCAGCTCAAAATCAAATCTCTTTAGAGTAAATATGTTTTCAAAATACCTCTGCCAGCTAATTTTAGCTCACAAGAACATTTAAAATGGTCACACATGCTCTGAGGGATGTGGTCTGTGGTCACATTAGTCGAGATTGAGTAAGAATAAAATCATGGGGCTTTACAGTAAGGGGCGCATACAATATTGTTTGTTTTGCTTTGAAAACACTGCTCTTCGTTCTTCACTTGGACTCAGGATTTCCTTTTTGTTTTCCAGAGGGACGTTGTTGGTTTATAGGGTGGGATTGGATGAAGGCCACCAGGAGGTTCCTCCTTCGCTTGACCTTGGATGCATCGAGATGGTGGAACTAGGAGTGGCACCAGGAGCTGAGCAGCACTGATCGAGGGGAGCCGGGCAGTTTCCTGGGCTCTGGACTATCCTGTCCACAGTAATTAGCAGTGAGCTGCTGTAATGAAGAGCTTAAGGTTTGGGGGTCAACACTCCACAGGCTTTAGGTTTTACTGTTCTGGGTGGGCCTTTGATCCTTTACTCCCCCTTCTAATATAGTTTAACCACAAAAAACCGAGAGGCTCCGAAAAGAATCTTTACACTTGAGTGAAAGAGAGAGGGGGGAAAGGTCTTCATGAGTTTTGAAACATATAATTTCATTTTAACACAGAGGTTAGGAGGCCCTAACAGGAGGCTCCTCTCTGTATTTATTTCACTTGAAAAAAATCAATCTAAAGCTGGAATCCAGATCTTCCCTTCATGCATTATTTCAGGAGGCGAGGGAGGAGCAAACATTGGGTTTAGCATTCTACCACACTCATATCATATCTGAATCCAAACACAACAAATTTCAGTTTGGGTCACTGAACC